TTCGAAAGAATTCGTGTGTAAAACTGAAAAAAGTATCTCTATCTCTATTTCTACTAATTGAGAGTTGAACTCGATATATGATGTTAATGTCTATGTTTTCCATTTTTTTCCACAAATGAATAGGAATTTGTGAATATACGTGTCAATTAGTTGGCTGACATTTCTCGGACGTGCCACGTGATACGCGATACCTAGGTATTAAAAAACCGTTAATACTTTTATTTCATAAGCTAATGCTCTATGTTCTCCTCATTGCATTATGCAGCTCTCATTTTTAATGTATCCTCCGACAATGGCAGCCCGCAAGTTTAATTTCAGAGAACACGGGTCCGCTTTGATTCCAGGCGTGAGAATTAAAAGCGCTGACGCAGTGCGCTAATAATCCCCGCGAAAAACGTAAAAGTCGGGTTTCAGCTAGCACGTAGAAGATAAAGTGTTACGCCTCGAGCGTGTACGTAACGTTTTACGTCAGTATAAATGACAGCGATCCACAATAGTATCTACGCTCCCCGAAGTACCGTCATGCCGTAAAGGAACGAAGTGAAGTATACATGACTGACATATGAGAGTCAGTCAAGCCCCACACGCGCTTAAGATCAAGGCGTATATAGCATGTATATATGGCGGTATGTTCGTAACGGGGCGCTCGCTCCGGCTACCGTCATTAAAATTCAAGGGAGATTGGTCTTGATCCGGCAAATCCCGCAGAGAAGCCAGCGAAACTGTTCCAACAGACGAAAGTCCCTCCAAGCCGTGAAGTGTTAGAAATGCCCATTGCCCTCGGAACTTATCGTCGGCCAACAGACACGGAAAGGAACGTCCCATACTTCATCCGAAAGAATGGCGAGCGACGGGTGCTCGATTAAAAACTGACCGCGTTGTCGATAACGTAATCGTCCGTCGAGGATATTTTCCGATGTTTTCGATACGATCTCTTAATCTCGTACTCTATTAAAGGTACCTTTCTGCACTGATAAAAGAAGTATACAACTATGATACCCAAGAAGAATTTCATATAAGCCTTCCTATATATCCTTTCTACCCAAGATTTTATATTTATAAAAAAAGATTTTATTTCTTATAAAAATAAAATAATTGTTTTTGCACCATAAAATGCCATAGGTTTGTTCAACTATGCAAATGTGTCAAGTGATGCATATATTTTTCAGACGTAAATGCAATTGACAGCTAAACCCAGGTACATCCAAGTACAATTTACACCAATTGGATATTTATTCTGTCATTGTTTGCAATAAAAACACGTATCACACGTGAAGAGACAATTACATTGGTAATCGTATTGAGCGATTATGAAAAAACATAAAAGTTATCTCGTTTTGCGTCACGCAAAAAAGCAATATACAGAACAGTATATTGCTCTTTAAAAACAGAATCGAAAATTTCATATAAATGCTGTCCACAATTCGGTATACACGATAAAAACGATATTTCGGCTTTAATATCAATTCTGCCCAAGCCATGTCAATCTACATATATTACTTTTAATCTTATTCTTTTAAACATCGATCGAACATATCTCGGAAATAAATTAGAATAATAATTAATTCGTACGAAAAATATAGCACAAAGAATATACACCCTACATAATATATAGTGGCACCTTTAACTTAAGAGATTACGAAGAGAGTGTAGCAACGAAAATCTACTGCGTGGAGCGGAAGCATTTTAGTGTAGAATTAGAGCGTAAGAACGGAACGCCGCTGCACGCGCGAGCACTATCGATCATCGAGCTAGCTGCGCTCTCAAGCACGTACGAGATGCGCCGAAAGTGTTTTAGAAAGCGTTCTTTCAGCGCGACGTTAAACGGGGGATCGACCTTACGTCGTATTTGACCTGGCGGCGAGGAGGTAAGCTCGCTTTAAAATTCGGCCGGGCGCATGGCAGTCGCTGGATGAGAATCTGTTTGTCGAGGGGATGAACTGCTGCTTCTGCTACTGCTCTGTTGGAAACACTATAACTCCCGGCATGACCCCGTGACGTGATCCGTCTGTATGATGAGTTGCGAGAACCGTTAGCAATGATAAACGTGTAGCGCGGCTTGTCGTAACTTTTTGACTTATGACAAAACGGGACGAGGAGGAAGAGGGCAGGGGAGCCCTGTTGCCATTTCAGCAAATTTCGATCCGTCCTAGAATTAATCACCATCGGCGGTAAATAAGTCCGACCAAATTTATCGTTCGTCGGGTCGTGGGGGGATATTAACGCATGCGGAATACGCTTTGATGCACGTGTAAACGTGCATTACAGGTATTGCGAATCAACGAGGCCAATCATTAAGCATGACAGAACTAATTAACGATAGATACACTGCGTCACTATTATCGAATAGAAATAATTCGTTGTTTTGTTGGTTGATTGACAATAACATATAATCCCGAATAAAATCATTTAACCGTAAATAGCAAAATAGCCTCTGCAGATAGTATTTAATACTCTGGACAAGTAATAGGTGATGTAGAAGAATTATATAATTTATAAACTAGACTCTTATCATGATAAGTTCAATCAGACAGGTAAGCTTTAAGTAGACGAAATTCAATTATCTTCGCGTGCGAAGGTAAAATCAAAATTTAAAATATATATATGAGAAAATCTTCTCGCAAACGTGACCGTGAATTGCTTAAAATAGAAGAACATATCTTTTTCATGATCACTTCGTTAATTTATAATTGGAATATTATCACTGTAAATCAGTAAATAATACACGGTGCATTTTATATCTGTCTTCGGCATTGTGACGTTACGCTCAACAAGCAATTCGGATCAAATCTCAATGTATTTTTTGCGTCGTAGAGAGAATTGACATTAAATTCTCGATTACAAGTACCGAAACGAGATTTCCTCGACTCTTTGGTGTTTCGCGCTTCGTCGCAGCCGTTTATCTTTGGCCCGCTCAACACCGCCACCTAAAACGGAACATCTCGTGCGAGAATATAGCAGTCGCATTCCTTTGTAAGCAACAACGATGCCCGTTTATATATTCTAGTAGAGAAATCAACTGAATACCAACTAAGGGAAGCCAATCGCCCGGTCATCCCCACATACGAGATTCTAACGTTTCACTAAAAGCCAACCACGAATTTCCTCGATTCACCTCAAGTAATCTGAGGTCCATGGCACAGTAAAATGCTTGTCTTTGATGCGATCTAAGTGTGCGCATTCGCGCAAATGACACGACTTTGGCCGGTAATTTATTGCAATTTAATAAGCGTCTGCCAGATAATGCTTTCATTTATAACGCGCGTTTGTCTTGCGGTCATATTTTGTTAACGGAAAAACATCCCCATTCGATAAAATATTTCACTATTCGATAAGATTTCATTAATTATATTACTATTTAATCAATCCTTATCGATGTATAAAAAGATTGTAAATCTCAATTTTATGTTATTATATTCGTTTACTTCAAACATATTGAAATAAATATTTCAAGAAAGTCTTATATTAAATGAATCTTGATTAACTTACTCGCTAGTTGAAATTATACAGCAGAGAAAATCTAAATGGCGAAGCCGTTAAGATTATCATGACGATCTAGTGAGTCTTTCAAGCAGCTCCCTCGACCACACTTTGACATTATTAACACTTCCTCCGTCGCTTACCATGGAGCGCGCTAATATCTTTCATTCCAATGAAAAATTCCACCAAAGGAAGTTAAGTTTCACCGCGTTAACGCGGCGAAAAACTTTCCGGTCTGGCGATAATTATTTAATCGATCTCACGTCATGTGCAACAAGCGTTGAACTTTCAGCGATGACACGTATAGACTGCAACGGCAATTGAATAGAACTGCGAGCGCATCGCGAGAGACGCGAGGCCTCGTCTGTCTGTTTGCGGGATTAAGACGGGAATTTGCCCCCTCGAGCTTCTATCCGTGAGACAATAGAGTCGCGTGTCAAAGAGCAAGAGTTTGATCCGACACAGATCTGTGCGATCGTCAAACTTGGTTCGTCGCATTCTGAAATTGCTGCGCTTTGGTCGGCGCAATTCGTTACACACAGTGCTCCCGTTGACGCGCTTATCGACGGATCTCTTTATTTTTCCCGTCTGTCATCCGGACTATTCCGCGTAATAATGAGCCGATACATGTCGCTCCGGAGAGGTTTTCGATGGAGGTTTTCGATAACGCAAACGAGGGCGATGCTCGGCAACGTATGTCGCGCAACCGTATTTGCGGATGACCGACGGGGGCGGCGAAGTAAGTGGCGGTAAACGAGCCACAGTGTCACCGATATGCAAACACCGGACCATTGACGGGCCGCTTGCCTCCGAAAGCAGCGTCCGAAACTACCGTCAAAGAGAGGAATCGCCTTTGATCCATCAGTGTTAAAATATTCGTTATAAGCCGGTGTCCGTAGTCCGTATCGCCGCGATGCGCCATCCGACGCAAAATCGGTCGTTCGCACGTCATAATTAAATAAACGATAATAGATGAAGGAGTTTACATGGTAGAATTCTGAAAGCGCGCGCTGGACCGCGAATATAGATGAAATATTTGGGAGATAGTGCGACTTTCAGATGTTCGACATTGCATCAGATATAATATAATATAATATGTATCAACGTAATGCATAATTTCGTTAACTCTCTTGTACCTAAATTGTACTTAAAGAAATATGTCATTTAATACGTAAAGAATATTTTACGATATCTCTCGTTTTTTAAAGCTAGATCTTGCTGCTCTTTTTGTTAAAAGTGGGAACAGGTTGAACGAATATTCCCTGAATTTTCAGGAATATAACATTAAACGTAAGTCAATCTCATGAAACTAATTTCATAACAACAGAGGACTTCTTCAAACCACTTATTTAACTTTTGCTCCTCAAAAACTTCCAACTAACTCGTTTGTTAAACAGGTAGCTGGAAATGATCGGTAGAAATTCCGAATGGTGTGAGAACCAGGTCGATCCGCTGCTCGACCTTCGAGAGGCTCGCGCAAATGCGATAAAATACAACAACGAAATTCAACAGCCACTTACTGTCCTTCACGCAGAACGCGCCGATAATCCAGAGCGGAAAGAGCGGCACGACGAGCACGTTCAAGTGTCTCGCGTTCGCGTTGTACCGTAGACTCCTACCGTCGTGCGGCCTAAAGTAAATCATGATCGTTCCACGTGACGGGACCAACGCGGCACGATCATAGCAACACCGATCACCAGGGAACGTCGTCGTCGTACATTCACCCGCACTGTCTGAACGCACACTGATCCAACGGCGGATTCCTCCGTTCCTCCTCCGACGTGCTCTCTAGTCCACTCTAGTCGAGTCCGGAATCCAGACGGCGCGTCTGCTGATTATCGCGCGCGCGATATCCGCGCATCCTCCTTGTTCTCAAAGCGTATTTTCCGGAGACAGGAGGGACCGATTGTCCGGACGGAGCACCAAAGATCGACGATTCCGCGACGCGTCGCGCGCGACATACGGCGTTGAAAAAGGCTCCGCTGGACCGTTGAAAGCTCTCCTTGTGGAGATCTCGGAGCGTGTAGTGACTCGCGATCACGGAAATCGAAGCAATCGCGCGTGGTCGACGCACCGCGCATCAGCAATTCTTCGTTGCATAATCACATCGTCGATCTGTTAGCGGTATTCAGTACCACGCGCATCTCGGTACTACTCCAATATCCTTTCTTCACTTCTTTTTCTTCCTCTCTGTTGATCTACACTTCGTTCGTTCGTTCGTTCACATCGTTTTTCCGCCTCCGCAACTTTTTCCCTCTACTCCTTCGTTTGTTTTCCTCTTTCGCGCTATCCCCCCCAAGTTTCTCTCACTGCCGGTTCTTTTTCCACCCTTTCGGAAGACCTTCAGCAACTTTCTCACCCCTCCTCGGGATAACTTTTCCCTTTTTCTTCACTTCGGCGTTCACTCGCGTCCTCGATGACACGTTCGATCGGCACGTTCCAGCGCTTCAAGCACGACGACGTGATGCGCGCCACTCACAGCGTCAGCGTGATTTCGCACTCCCTCCACGACTGTATCGGGCCGAACCGTATACCGTATGCGGCCGCCGCACACCGCCGTTCACCTGCTGCGGCCACCGCTGGTGCCGCCACCGACGCGTCGTTTCCGCCGCCGCTGCCGCCGCCACCGCCGCCAGCCAGCCGACGTCGACGTCGCGAGGTCGTCGCCGCCGTCGTCGTCGCCGTCGCTACCACCACCGCCGTCGCCGTCGCCGCCGCCGCCACCACCGTTGCTGCTGCCACCGACACCGTCGATCGAAAAGAGGCCCGTGTTGTACGCGCCCGCGCACACGCTTTACCTCGCATGCGTATTGAACGCGAGAGACCGGTGTCTCTCTTTCTGCCTCCACTCCGCAGCGTATCCGCACGCGTTGCTTCCTCTTCGTCGTTACCGCCGCTGCATGCCGGTTGCGCTCGTCACGGGAGTTCGTTACTGTTCCCTCTTCTTCCTCTCGCTTTCTTCTAACGCGATTAATGCAATCAATTTTTTCCCCTGCGATTTTTTCCATGCCCATATGATATGATCAATCAGCTTATGTACACAAGTTTGATCTAATGGGGTTTCTTTTTTATTCAATTTTAAATTATATTTGTAATGCGTTAACAATTGTGATATTTCTTTAACTTATGTTCACTGTGTATCGCTCAAGCAAATTTACTTTATTAAGATACTTCATTCGTTATGTTTCCAGTGTGGCATTATGAAGATTCTTGACAATGTTTGTTCAAACATGATAAAGCATATGTGATTCTTCTCTTCTTACAATCTCTTTGTCTTTGAGCTACATAATCTCTTCTTGCGAGTCTAAATTGAAGGACAGGCTTCGTATCGGAAAGTCGAGTAATGCGATAAGATAGATGAATTCAAGTGAAAGAGTGAAGCTTAGATTGATTTTGAATGTGCGTGTAGTTTTGGGATGTCGTTCGGAAGTAAGAGTGCACGCTCAACAGCAATTTATTCTAAAGAAAAATGGGGTCTTTTCTCGCATTCGGACTTTACAATCCGCCTGTTGCCCCTCATGCAGCGCGTAACAGAACACTCGCTTTATTTATTTGTCGAGTTTTACGAAATTACGAATCGTGCGAAAGAGGAATTATCTCGATTAGATCCAGAGGCGAGATAAGACGACAGATCATCGAATCTGCGGTGCTTTTAATTAGAAACGCGATACGTGTAATCCCCAGATGCGCGTGCAATAATCTTTCATTTGCAAAGTGCAACAAGTGAGTTCAGCTTCGTGCGGCTTACGAGTTTCCATACGGGCTTGTGTAATATTCCACTTTTATCTATTTTTTTTTCTTCGCGTTACACACATAGCAATCTTTGCCTACGTTTTTCACTTACCTCTTTATCCCTTTTATGTTTCACCCCATAATCGCATCCTGTACAAACGTCAGTCTAATAGAGGTAGTTTTCTAAAGAAAGGAACGTGTGTCAGGAAGGGTCTTCGAATAGAGATGAAAAAGACCGGAACCTTCGTTAATTTGTCCTCCTTTCTCTTTCTCATCGCGGAAATTGCGATCTTCCCTAGATCTACACGTTAATTTCCTTTGTTATTTTCATATGTCAGCAAATTTTCTCAACGCACGATTCTAATCGCAAGCAAATACAATATACATCTTCAAATATGGTTTCAATATACCATTAAGTATTCCCACTTGTCTAAAATATTTTTAGAAGAGTTAAATATGAATTTACATTTTTACACATGTACGTGAAACATTTTCCAATATACTATACTACATATACGTATTCCGAAAAACGTACTCGTACAAGTTCATAAAATATTTAGAGATTCGAAGAAGAGTGAGAATGTGTGTGTGTTCCTAGAGATTTATGTTGACCTTAAATATGGATATATAGATGTAGAAGATATATATGGTGAGAAAAGAATAATTTCTTTTGGCTAGTAAGAAGAAATGTAGCAAAAAGAAAGGAAAGAAAAATAGTTAAAAGTCGCATTTGAGGAGGAGTCTCGGATATAACTATTTTTCTCTTTCTCCCCCGGCACACAATTTTTTCCACTCTTAATGCGTTCTCCTCTTTATTCGTTAATCCTTGCTCTTTCTTCCTCTCTTTTAAGATAATTCTCCTGTAACATCGCCCGGAATTCCTGCGTACGGCAAGAAATTCGCGAAAAAAGAGATACCATAGCTATACAAAGAGGACTGGAATTTGTTACCGCCAAGGAATGTGCATATTTTCATTGGGTTTGTCTCAGTCTAAATATCGAATCGATTTTAGAAAAATATTCGATGTTACGTTAAATAACAAATAATAATAAAACAAATTATATGAATAAACAAGATAAAAAGAAATATAGACGTAATAACAGAATGTTATCTATTATTAAAATTGATTTTAAAATAAAATTGAAATTTATATTTTCACATAAATATTGAACAGAATCTAGATTAAATGAATGAAACAGGATCTAGATTACGCGCGTAGATTGTATTTCGAAGGTATAATTATTACGCGTATATAATGTATATGGATAATAAATATTATGTAGAAAATTCAGTTGCCGTTGTGACTTTCTTTCTCTACATCGCTGAAAGTGCTCCGCCAAGAAATGATGCCCCATCGAATTCTTGACAGCGCCTTATATCTGCCGGAAGCGGGCGATGAGGACCGTCGAGGTTGAAGAACAAAATTGGACTTCCTACGTGCGAGACGATACGCAGAACGAGCACGACACTTTGTCACGGATGTGTTTCACATTCATTTGCAGATATGTTCGCTTCGTATTTCGAATATTAGATTTCGTCTGACTCGAACTGCTCTTTTGTTCTTGTAGATGTTATTTAATTGGTTTGCTCAAATAATAAGTGACGAATAGACAGTAAATAATCATATACTTAGAGCCAAAGTACATAACATGACGTAGCGATATACGACGGTCGTAGTCCTCGACCTGACAAATCAGGATACGCCAAAGCTTGTGCGTTACTTACGTCCACGACTACGACTGTCATATATGCTTTGGCCCTTAGGCTGCGTTCCATTTGACACTACAAATTCTTTGAAGCGTTCTTCTTCTCCTTCTTTCTTTATTGAAAGAAAGGAGAAGAAGAATGCTTCGAAGCATTTGTAGCGTCAAGTGGACCGCAGAGCCTTTATACGCACAAAGACATTGAAAATTTAGGAACTTTGTGCAATTGCGTATAATCGCATAAAATAATTAAAATATTTATAATTTAATCGAGTACAAAATGTATTATGGAGATCTGTCATGCTAGATTACACAATAAGATTCTTCAGATTAATCGCAGAATTCTCAAAGCATTTTCTGTCTGTTTGCGAACAGTCGTAGACTACAACAGTTATTTGAATTCCGGAGATGGGTAGGTACGAATATTCGGTATGCGGGCAAAACGTCTTAGATTCAATTTTTCGCAAATGGGTTCTTCGCGGTGGAGTGTAGAAAGAATCTTTCTATATAATATGGTATGAAAATTTGATGCGAAAGAAATTGGATTTAAGCTATAGAGCGCTGCGCCAAACACATTCGTGTACACGATATATTGTCCAAGGGAAAGCGCAATGTGTTTGCTACTCCGATACGGTAAATGATATTAACAAACGATGAAACGCGGTCCAATTTTTTACGTCTCGATAATTTGCGAATTACAGTCAAGTCGTGCGACCAATCCGTGCGCGGTGCGCGAAGAGGAAAGAGAGAAGCACTTCTATTAGTACCAAGGATGAAGAAATTTTTTAACAATTTTTTTCCCGAAAATTACAACAACTCTCGATATGTGTCGCTAATGGATTAGTGAAGGCTCGCGCGAAGCCAAGTACGCTTCAATTTGCGAAACTCCGCAGTTAATGGACTCGCGCCATAGCGCGAGCTATTAAATTCCGTCACATATATGCGGAAACGATATACAGAGAGAGATTTTGTTTACTGCGCGTATTAGCGCAGGTTAGTAACCGGACTTTATTCGCGCATTTAATATCGGCATTGCACCACGCGCGTGTTACCGCCCCGCTTCGTGCCGTCCACGCACACTTATGTCGTCGACGCACTCATCCGATGACATTATTATCGAAAAGCGTTTTACCACGGGAGAGCACGTTCGCTCGCTTTTCGCAGATAAATGTTACGTGTGGCAGCTACGCTACCTGCGAGACCGAGGGAAAGCGCAGCACGAGAGAGCTCTCCACTCCGCCGTTAAGCGATAATAATAGGCGTTGCACATGTACTCGTAGAGAGATAGAGATAAAGAGAGAGAAAGAGAGAGAGAGAGAGAGAGAAAGAGAGAGAGAGAGAGAATGAGAGATACGACGAGGTCGAGATACATACGCCGGCGAGATGCCCAGGAGGAAACAATGCATCCCGCTGTGCACGTCAATGAGACCTGCGGAATCTCGTTAGCGCTCTAAATCCTCCTTTTTTAAGACCACGATGCATTTCTAGGTTCAAGATACACGTGATATATTCGAGTACCGAGTTTGCATCTGGCGACCATAATGTCGCTCGTAATGTCTTCACCATTCGGATAAACCATGTTGCGAATACAAAGTGCGTCCAAAAAAAATATGTCTCAATATGCAAAGAATTTGTTTACCATCGTACAGGCTATTATCGTTTTAAAAATCCTGTTTTTCCTACTGTATAAAAATGATAATGTATCATTTTACTATATCGTTACGCTGATTAGAGAAAAGCATACGACGCTTATTCGTCGCTGCGTTCTTCATTTAATAATAACGCTCACGTAGGAGACGATTCGTGTTGCACGCTTCGGCGGCAATTTCACAAATCGGATCGGGATTCGAACGCGCACGCGAGAAACGTGACGGTCGCTTTGACGAGAATACGATCTAATGCTCCTTAGAAATTCAAGAATGAACCGATACGTAGGTACGCACGATCGAGCCGAGAATCGAAAATGGATCGTGCGCGTGGGGTAGAGAGTAGGGGGTAGGGGTAATGGAAACTGGTCCGAATAAAATTACGGCAAATATTGTACCACCGCGCACCGGCTACCCCCGTATGAGCGATCGGATAATCGATCTTGACGTTAACACCAAACTGGGATCTTTCGGTACATGAGAAATTA